ATGACAAAGACCTGATGGCTTACAAAACTATCAGTAGCACTCAGTCTCCAACATGACAGTGGCATGTATCCCCACTCAGCTTAACTTCAACCAGGCAAATCCATTTCTTCTCTCAGTTGAATAATACAATGTTCACTAAAGATGCACACCTTCATGTAGAACATAGTTCTTTGGAAAACCTCAAATATAAGCGTAGCAGAATTATAAAAACCTAATGGCAATTTTCTGAAGTTGCTCAAACTTCTGTGTGAACACACAGACAAATTCTGATGACTAAATACCTGGCATTGAAGAAGAGAAGCTGTTTTTTCAATCATGGGCTGAATATTCATCAAAAGAAAACTCTGAAGGAAACCAGGCCCTAGAGAAGGCAGCAGCCGAACTTATACTTTACGGTGGCAACCAAACACTCAAAGAGGGAAGAAGAGATAAGACAAAGCTTCTGCACAGAAATATTTGTGCTACAGTGCATTGAATTTGAGTAATTAAAAGTCATGCTGGCAGAAAAAAAGATGAAAATTATGTTTGAGGTTTCTTTCACCTCTACTACAGCAAAACATACTTCAAGTTAGACTGAATGTGTGGAGTATGTTACGTGGAAAAAACACCAGCTCCCATTTTCTCTACCCACTATGGCTTTCTCTCTGTACCTTCATCTTTGCAAGTGACCTGCAAACATGTAGCTTTGTCATTTACTTTATCACAGCAGCCAGGAACTGTCCAGTAACATTTGGCCCTTTATTTTCAGCAGTTTACTTACTGCTCACAGATCAAAATGATTAACTATCTCCTTTCTAGGCTCCCATTAAAAAATATCTCTGCTGAATCAGAGAGACTTGAGATCACTTGTAAGTGATCAGATAAAGCATTACAGAACTTTACTACTAATTTTTTGTTGCTTTCCAGATCCAACAGATAGATTTTCTTCTACGTATTGTCATCCTAGATACTTCAACAAAGTGCCGCTAGTAGTAATGATAATGATAATGATAATGATGTTCTGTTATTTACATCTCTGTTCACTATCAGAAATAAAAACTGTATGCTAAAAATAGAAACATATGGAAACCAGAATACAGTTATAGGAAGGCCAGTGCAATTTGTATTTTCAACAGATTCCAGCAGGCTGCATTGCTTGAAGCATCACTGCCTATACCACCGTAGTCTACATTGTACTAAGCTAATGAATGTGAGACTTGCATAGTGAAAAACTTTAGTGGGAGGTAAAAGAAGAAAATTTTTTGTTGAAGATGGACTCCAAGGGATAAGCTGCACTTCAATCAAATATCTATGGCACAGCCCATCTACTTTGCTATTCTTCTACTAAAATTCTGTAAAATTAAACTAGAGAAGTGCATGAAGAGGTAAAACAGGACAATTCTTCACTTGGAATTAATGACAAGTACATGTACTTCTTCAGGTTCAGACAAGATATGTTGTTTAACCTTTCAAAGCTTATCTTTTCCTGGAAGAATGTACACATGGTGAAACCTGTGGGCAGAATGTAGGTAAGCCTAAAAATATTTGAGCTCTATGCATGCTTCTACACTGCGTAATAAAAATGAGAGATGCTAGTTTTGAAACCATCCTTGAGATGTAAGACTCTGTGGTAGAAAAAAGAGATGGTACTTAAATGTGTAAATATACAAAGGTTAATGTTTGGGCTTGGGGCTTTCAGTAAGAAATATGTCTAGTACTAGTACCAAGCAAGAGGTGGAACTCAGCACTCTGAAGGGTTAAAGTGAACTTTAGTCTTCCACCAATCACCATTTGGTGCTGTATCTTCATAAATTTCCCCCGTTTATGGAGTGTTTTTGATGGCAGGCAATTCTTTGTTGAAAGTTAAGTGCTCTTTTATATGAATAAATAAAGAAGGCATTGGTTTGAATGAATACATTATTTTGACAAATGTTTATTGGAAGCCCAATTATGGCTTCATAAATCAGTGCTATCTGTGGTACATCAGGTGAGCTCACCCATGCCATCAAATGGCACGTTGAATATTAGTAAGATAATTAAAACAATTCTGTTGAATGTTGTTCTTCTTACCCAGGTCTGACAGTAGTCAAAACAGGAAGAAATTGTTTATTAATTTTATTTCACTTATTAAAATACTTCTTGTACGATGTAATGGGCATACGTAACACAAAAAAAAAAAAAGGAGAAAAAACCCATTTGTTTTCAATTTGCAGTTAGATTAAAATGACAAGGTCAAGCACAACGCATGAACTGAGTGGCAGCTGAATTTTAAGAGTAGTCAGGAACAGAAAGGATACGTATGCAGTCTATTGTTTAAACTTTACACCCAGGTGAAGTGGGGCTTTTTTTGTTTTGTCTGAAGTGGTCACTGGTGATATGAAATGTGTCTGGAGTCAATTCATGTGCTTCCTTGTCCACTCCACCACAGTGATTGAGTTAGAATGACCAAATGAATAAGAAGCCATTTTCATATCTGTGAAAATGAAGGGAATCAAGTGAAACGCTTGAACTCAAGGTCAAGAAGAGAGGGAGGACTTTACAGCTGAAAAATTTTTATTCTCATAATATTCCCCTGCAGATAAAAATCTACAGGGTACAAGCTACCAGGAATTCCCATCTCTTGAGGCCCTATGACTGACAGCAAAATGGAAACATATTGGTGGCAGGACACTGAAGGTCTCTTTAAGCTTTATGGAAACAATATACATGATTTCCCCAAGGATCATTTTGCTGTTTTAGGATACGGCTATATCCACAAGGATTTACAAGCATAAAATACGGATTGAAACTGAAGTAATTGGGTTTGGTGTATATTTGAATTAGAGTGATATAAACAGCCACCTAGATATCTTTCTTAGCAACTCAACTTCAGCATAATATTCCTCTTAGTGGTACAGAAAAGGGAGCGAAGAGACATAAGAACAGAAGGCAGCATAATATTCAGCTTTTCTCTCGTGAAAGAAAGTGAGTGTTAGGAGTTGGCCACAGAGATGGCAATGAAATACTTTTATTTGGAATTTCTCGGTACATTGAAAGGAGAAAAAAAAAATCAGCAGGACAAATTCTTTTGTTTCACCAGAAACTAACCTTCCTCCAGAGCAACTCAGGCTCCAGATTTCTGTCAGCAGGCAGACAACCCGGAGGCTCCAGGGTTGAAACGCCCACACTAGGACTTCTTAGGATCCCATATTTCCCCAGAGATCTGCTTCTCAGATAATGTATAAAGTTTGAGGTGGTCTTCGAAATAATGGGTAGACAAAAAGTTGTCGTTTTCTTCAAGACAGAGATAATATTCTCCATTTTCCACCATTCCTTACTCTAGTCCCTTCTCAGGATTTTAGATAAACAAACAAGTGTGGGAAGCAATATAGGGAACATCTTCACTATTTAGGATCCTATTTTTTCATAGCAAAATAAAAGTATATTCAGCCTAAAACCAGGCTAGCATTTTGCTGCCAAGGACACCATCACTGGTAGTAAATACTCTGCAATAAAGGAGACAGAATTTAGGGCAATCATGGTGCATGAGGTAGAGTGGAGCCTTGGGCTTTTTCCTCTTACCTAAGAAGGAATGTTCCACGGCAAGAAAATCTGGAAATTTCTTTTCCAGAGTAGAGAGAAGTGAAGATACTCTTTTATATATTAATTTTAGAAAAACTATTGCTTTAGTCTCAGGGACTGTGCTTTTCTATGTCTTAACTTCTGGACCCATATTTAGTTCTCCCTAAGTGGAAATGAGGGATTTTAGAAGCAAACTCTTCTCACTACACTACTTTCTCATGTGTAGTCTCAGAAAGTCAGACCATTCAGTTCAAACTATGCACACAGAAATTCATTTCCTTGACTAGGATTAAGGAGATGTACGTGGTTGGAATGGTAAAGAAAATGTGGACATGGAACAGGAAAGAATCACATTTAGAAACTTCGATAAGATTTGGTGAGGCTGGAAGAGTAACAAGAAAAAGGCATTCTGCAGTCCATGAACTTGATACAAAAGGCACAAGACATGGCTCTTGAGCACCCTAACTATCGACCTTATTATCAGCCATTCTCCCAAAGTTTCAGGGAAGTTTGCTGTTAATCAACAATACTAAAAGATTTGGTTCCTGGTGCAGTTTATCAGTTTTTCTTATCTCTAGTCTTTTTTTCTCAGACCCTGTTTCCTCCCTTTGTCTGTAGGCACTTTAACTGCAAATGTGACTTACTGGCAGTGAAAACAGGAGAGAAAGAGCCCCAGATTTTCATAGTACAGATTTAAAACATGGAAGCTCTGAAATACTTCCCCTTAAATTTTATTTCTGAAGATACTATCAACCTTACTTCCTTTGTTTTAGCATTCAATGAAACGTTGTCTAATTTCACTCTGCCTTCTGCCAAAAATTCTTGATGGACAAGATACTTATTATATCTTTTCCCAGTCCCTGTGAGTGCAATTTATCAGAAGTCACTCCTCTCTTCTCTTTTCTCCAGTGACAAAGACATCTGCACCACTGCATACCTTGCACAGCCTCCTATTTCAGTGGAAACCAGCATTGAAAGTGTTGCATCTTAGAGCCCAAAGGGGACAAAAGCTTTATGGAAGATAGTTCTTCCTTTATATGCAAAACTCCTGTTACCATCCATAAATCACTCAGGCTGCTATTATAACCCCGAACAAGCTGGCATCACCCCTAAATACAGAAGATTCTGTGAAAGATTAGAAGAACAAAAACAACAAAGGAGTCATTAAAACACCTAGAAGATAAAATGATTGAAAATATCTCCCCAAATTTCCTTCTTGCAAGACAGTGATTGAGCCATAAATCAAAGCTATTCTTCTCTAGGGGATGTTTAGGGAGAAGGCAGTACAGTTTGTTACTATGTGCATCTAAAAACGAACTGCAGCTCTTACACTAATGGGGAAAAGCAGATAACTGATCACTGCCCTCAGTTATTTCAAATGCACTCCTCTTTTCTTCCAGTAAGAAAAAAAAACAAGCCTTATTTTTAACAGAATCAACATAAATGAATAGAATGTGGTTTTAATGCTAGGTTTCATTTCATAAACTTTTAGCTTTTCCTATGTTACATTTGCATTGTGAAAAAAACTAAAACAGTGGAATGTGTTGGATAGATAGACTGTTTCTTTTTCAAAAGTAACTTTCACCAGCAGGTGAATATTCATGTTACAGTTTTTGTACAGCATCACAGAAAACAAATAGTTATTCGAAGTCAGTAACTCTGGTCCCTTATGTGATGATACATAAGAAACAAGACAGAGAAACAGATTGTCCAGCAAGTATTTGCTTTGAAGTCTTCACAAAAAAAGATCTATACCATTCATGGCATTAAAAAATTTTGAAATCTGCTGGTTTTCACTCTATCTTTTTGTCCTGTCATTCCATCAACTTCATCTAAACATGCCTGTGGTCTGCAATAAGTAGTGGGATGAAAATGCTTATAATAAACAACAAGAAAAATAATACCTAACACCAGATGTAAAATAGTTAAGATGATCACAATTGTCAAATGTATTACCTTGATAATGGAAGGTTTCCAGAACATATATACAAACAAAATACCTAGAGTTACTACAATGTGAGTAGCATAATAAATAGAAATGCAAACTTTCATTCTTCTCTCCTTTATGTTAAAAAATGTAAAAATTAGAATTATTCCAACTACGGTTCTGTACAGATATTCCATCTTCTTAGATTTCCAAAATGTTGTACATTGTTTCAAAGTCCAAGTGAAGCCACAGATCCAAAGAAATATCAGCAGAATTACAGAAATTCTAACACTCAGTAGAGTGATAAGTGAAATACTGAGTACCCAAGAAGTGATGGTAAGCAGTTTATAGAAGAGATACATGAACTTGGAAGGCACATGAAATTCACCTTTGTCAGGCAGAGATTTTCGTAATGACATCTGATAATCAACCATTGAAAAGGAGATACCACAAAAAGACATAAAAATGGCAGCATCTAGACAAAACACAAGGAAAAATGTTAAACCAGAGAAGAAGATACTTATTTTACATTATAATATCTGAATGAAGTTTTGGACAAGTTTATGCTTCTTAACACTTTACCACAATTTTATATTTACTCTGTGCTCCAGAACAAGTCACCCTAATTTTAAGTCTTACTTTAGTTACCTAAATCTAGGCATCTGATACCTGTTTGGTATGCCTGTGTTATCCTGCCCAGCCTATGGTTCTTAAAGGTATTGCCTAAGTGACTTTTTATAATGAAATCTTCCTTATCATCGATTTAGCAGAATGGACCATCCAATAGACAGAAAATCTAATTAAATGAAGGTAATTATACTGAGGAATGTGTGTTTTCCAAGGTAGGTTTAAAATGTTATCCAATCACATGAGTTATATTTTAAAGTAAGATACTCAACTTGCAAATTAAGGAAAAAGACAGACTCACATTGATAGCAATTAGTTGTGCCATGTTGCAGGAGGATGTAAATCTGGACGAAAAGTTGTGGTGTGGTCCCAAAAAAAGCCTTGAACACTCTGAGCATGTTAATATCAGTCACTGCATCAATAGCTTGTTTTTTAATGAAGTTGGAAGGATCTGTTTCTGAAGCATCCCCACTGCTTTTTAGTTTAAATGCAGCTTGGCAGCCATATTTCAAAGCAAACCAATACCTAATAAAAAAAGAAAACTGATTAGACAGCAGTTTTTAGAAGAGCAACCCAACAAAATTATATAGTCTAACAACAACTTTTCCCATTTCATTTTCCACTGATATTTATCTTTGAATGTAATCTAGCATCTTCTACTAAGCTAAAATTTTTTCTGATATCTGTCTGGTATCAGAGATATCAGAAAATCATTTAAGCCCAGCAATACTGTGCAATATAAAAACTAACAGAATCAGACTTATCTGAATAAAGATTACAAGCTTTGTTTTGTTAGGTTCTTATTTGTTTAAAAGTACTGCATTTCTGAAAATTCCCTTAGCATCTCTCCTCAGTCCCTCTTTGGGATACTCATTCACTTTTTTTGTATCTTTCTAAGAGTACTAGTGAATATCCAGCTCTGAACATCCACATCTATGTAAGTGTAGTTTAGAACCATAAGCCCCAAGTATAATCCCTGATGAATTGCAAACATATAACAAACTTTTTTTTTTAAAAAATCACTACAGTGTTACTTTCTAAATACTCAGGAATACAGCAGTGGATCACAGTCCCCTTCTGCTTACAAAGGGAGCTAGGAAGAATTCCTGACTCCTTCAGGGGTTATAAGTTTAACACCTTCAGCACCTTTAAAGACCAAATCCTTTGACCACAGGGGAGACAGCATCAGGGGTTCTTCCACAGCTACAACCAAGACAGCTGGGATTGGCAGGTGCTTGGTTAAGTGCATGCTAGAGGACTCATAACTTATTCCCTGATATGTTAAAGCATGTTGACCATACAAATGAGAATTGCAACATGGAAGCATTGGTAGGAGTAGGTGTGGAGCAGCTATGCTACTATTAAAGAGCCTTAGAGGAAGAGCCTTTGCTCTTCTCCTTGCAGAGATTCATAGACCGCATCCCTGCCATTCAGGCTGACTCCTGATTCCATGAGCTGGCTCTAGATCCATTATTTACTCCCAAAGGAAACTCTTTTCTACTTTTATGTTTTTGTATGTTTTTCTTAGTATTCTCTGAGTAATCACTCATAAGTAAAGAACTGAACTGTTTGGCAAGGCATCTATAGCTTTTTCCATTTATAAAACAATTAGTACTCCAAAACATCTGGTTCTCATCTGAGATGTAAACATCTGGAAAGTTTGTAATGTTTTCAAGAAAAAACAATTGGGTAGACTGATCTGCTAGTTGTCCATGGACTCACTCACCAGAGCCTGTCTTTGTCCAAGCAGCAAGAACTGGAAACCAGCTACACAAATTTCAAGCCGCAGAGCTCACAGCTGAGAAGGCAGGTGATATGCAGGGCATGTTGTAAAAGGAATATTTTAGCTGGATGCACACCTGAAATCACTAGTCAGTTTTTTGAAGTGCATTCCTTCTGAGCATGGTATACTAGGTTTACATTGTTATAAGATGGTATGCTATAGTATACCATGAAGTATACTCCTGACTGTATATAATACATTTGGTTTTTTCTAGAAAAGTCAAAATATTTATATTGCTCTTTATTTATATATTAAGCACAGTGATGTTCTCTGAGCTCCATGTGCCTTTGTCACTTACTGTAGTTCACTGTGAGAAATTTTTCATCATTTAAAAGTATCTTGAGCTTACACTCCCATTGTCATCTGCCCATTTGGCATGCAATAGAAGGACATTTTAGGAAGGGTTCATAGCCAACTTTTAGGCCTAGTGTTGGACAACTGCATTCCCAGCCTAAGGCAAAGTTCAGTCCATACTAAACCGTAGGTCAGGTTCAAATTTTCTCCTTTATCATGCCCATGGCTCACCTAAACCCTGTGCCTGCTCTGACCCTATCATAGTTATATTCCTATAATCTATTTTCCTATAATATATCTATTGCTGTAGAAGCTCTGTGCTTCAATATTCATAAACCATAAAAAGTCTTTCCAAAAAGGTACTTCAACTGTAATAAAAAGACATTAACTGAAAGTATTGGATTAGTTATATATTTTAAGTAGATGTCCATCTTAAACTGAAGGTGAAATGGGTATGTCAGTAATACAGACAAATGCAGGTTTATAATTTACTTTTTCTTCCTCTAAATTCATTACAGAGAATATGTTTTTCATTAATTCAAGGTATATTAGCTACTTGGAAGCCAACAGAGCAAAAAACCCACAACGTCTTTATAACTGGAGTCATCATATGTGAATGGTAAAGAATTATCAGTTTTAAACATCATATTTGCTTTGACAGGGGAAAAAAGGTTTCTGCCTTTGCAGTGTTGCTTTGTGGAGAACAGAGATGATAGGGCTCCTACTTGTTATAAAAAATCATGGAAGCACAGCTCCACCATCTCTCTGTTCTTGAGATGCTCCTACATTTTCATCACCATTTCGTAAAGGATGAAATTTGCTCCTTATCTCCTGTAAAAATAGGAAAGCTTTGTCTCTGACTGGGAATTCACAGAGGTGACAGCTATTTGGTTTTGTTGCTTCACAGCTTCACAGCCTTCACATGTGACAGGCAAGCTGCCTTGCCAATGTTTCCATATTACATGCTTCCTCTCAGATTTCCAGTGAGGACTTTGCAGCACAATCCCAGCATTACACTACACATCCCATCTCATCACACTACACTGTTGAAGATTTGGGTGCCATTTAGAAGTTCATACAGGCAGGGTGTGAGCAGCCTGGCAATAATGATTGTCCTGTCTAAATTCTGGTCATGCTGTCACAGTATTCAGCATAATATAAATCATATAAATCCTTAATCAAAGGAAAAATACTCTCTGTTGCATACTAAACTTCACCTTCTAAGTATCAAAATACTGGGATTAAATCCACGAAACTGATGCAACTGAGTCAGGACTTAGGTCAGTAAATATATATTAAGAAAATGTGATGAAACACAAAGAATCATAGAATAGTTTAGATTAGAAAAGACTTTAAGACCTTCGAGTCCAACCATTGCTCTAACACTACCAAGTCCACCACCAAACCATGTCCCTAAGTGCCACATCTACATGTCTTTTAAATACCTTCATGGTTGGTGACATCACCACTTCCCTGGGCAGTCTGCTTCAATGCTTGTCAAACCTTGCAGTGAATTCCTAATTCCAATCTAAGCCTTCCAGGGGCAAGTTGAGGCTGTTTCCTTTCCTCTCGTCCTATCACTTGTTACTTGAGAGAAGAGATTCACCTGCACCTCACTACAGCCTGCTTTCAGTTGTGGAGAGCAATGAGTTTGACACAGGGTGTAGGGTAATGTAACCTCAGTGACACCTCCAAGCTAGATGAACTATCATCCTTGCTATTACTCAGTTCCACTTGCAGAGCCTCACACCTGTTGTGGCAGGACACCTGCGAAGGTAGTCACAGAGAAGACACACCTGGGAAGGAACTTGTTGCCATTGCCCCGTAGCCTTAAGTCGCTGAGCTCAGCCAGGTGGAGAGAGGATAGGGAATTGTCCGTGTCATGTCCTGTGACTGTTGGGCCTGTCTCAGGGAACAGGTGTGATTTTATCTGTCTGCCCCTCCCTGATACTCCTCAGCCTACTCACTTCCTCCCAGAGCTCTGCCACTATGCAGAGGAGTTCCTTTACCTGGATGCACCTCCCACACGTGTGCTCACTGCTGCCAGCTGGTACTAACTCAGAGCAGGGCCCACACTGCAGCCCAGCACCAGGTATTAACAGAACATCATCTATCTTGGCTCTGAATTTTTCTCATTGTCTTTTAAAAACATGCAATTAAATAATCTCAGACTCAGCAAAGCACTCACATTTACTCTCATGCCTCATGGATTTACAATTAATCTTTACAAATATGCAAAAAAATCTTCTATCTGCTCCTTTTCATAACATCAGGGCATCCTGATGCTACCTTTAAGCATCAAGAGACACAATAGAACCTGCCAGTATCACAACAGCTTCTGCCTGTATGGCCTTCTATTCTGACAGCAAAGGTTAGGAATTGCTAAAATTTAGTCTCCAACAGGTGTGTCCTTGACTGATGCTGCAAACTGCTACACATCAGATGGCTCCAGAATTCATATGGTGCTCTAGGGAAATGTCCTGCTTTCCCACATTCCCTGACTGTGTTATTGTTTTGTTATCTGCTATCTCACAGATTGTTCTCAATTCTACCAACATCTGTGTGAACCACTTAAATTGGTCAGGTTGAAAACATTGTAGTCAGCATATTTAATATATACTTTACCAACTTAATTAGGTCTCCTTGCAGAGAATAATATTTCACATAAAATACAGTTGCAGGTATACATTCTTTTCATTAAAAGAAACTAAAGCCTTATTAGATATGTAATATTTTTATTTAATTTTCCTTTTTTTAATATATATATGTATATACATAAGTGTATACACATGTATGATTTTCATATTTATTACTTAGCATTGGCAGTGTGATAAGATAAACAAACTGATTCCCATTGTGCTGTGCACTGTACAAACATGACAGAGTTCCAGTAGCTAAAGGGTACCAGCTTGTAAGTCACCAGTACCTCAAGGGAGCCTAGAAGAAAGCTGGAGAGGGACTCTGTACAAGGGTATGTAGTGATAGAACAAGGGAGAATGGCTTCAAACTGAAAGATGGTAGGTTAGCATGAGATATTAGGAATGAAACTCTTTCCTGTGAGGGTGGTGAGGCACTGGCACAGGTTGCCCAGAGAAGTTGTGGATGCCCCATCCCATGAAGTGTTCAAGGCCAGGTTGGTCTAGTGGAAGGTGTCCCTGCCCATGGCAGGGAGGTTGGAGTGAGATCATCTTGTAGTGGTTTGGATCTTGTTTTCCCCCCAGAGGCTAAGAAAAGTGGTAACCCCCAAGGGGTGGAAACCCCTAGAAGTTTTGAAGTCCTGTCCAATGGGCGCTCCTGCAGAAATGTAAACATACCACAACCAGACCGGAAGAGAAGAGTTGTAGTTTTGGGGCAGTAGGTGGTGTGGCCATGTTGTAGGAGCCACGAGGAGAGGGTAGGAGCCCTCTGGGGGGGGGCCTCTGCCCTCCCCCAGCCCCAGTTGGGGGCTACAGAGACTTGGAACAGTGTTAAGCTGGACTATGTGTCTGTAGCTGTGAGCTGGGGGATGTTTTCCATCGTGAGTGAGCAGAGACAGAGAAGAAAAAGCGGCAGCATCCAGAGGTTATGGCTAAAAGCCAACTGATAAGACCTGAACCGGAGAAGCAGTAGAAGCTAGCAGCAGAGCTACAGAGTTCTGGGGGTAAGAACTAATACCAGAACCCCCAAACTCCTTTGATCCCTCTGAGAAAAAAGAGGGAGATGGACTCCTATTTTGGAGAGCAGTTTTGGACATGCAGCACCAGAGAGAGAGAGAGAGAGAGAGAAGAGCTGAGAAGCTCAGAGCGCCCCGGGAAGCTGGACCGGGACAGAGAGGAATGCAGAGGGGGTGACCTTGGCTCTCCCATTGCACTGCTGCCAAGGTGGCAGCCTGAGGCAGGGCACAGAGGCCCTGCAAGGAGCTTGAATCTCCTGGAGATACCAGACCGTCACAAAGACCCCCTGTGCTTCGTGATATGACCGTGGTGATAGCGACCTTTGTCTGGGGTGAACGCAGCTCACGGAAGACCCCTTTGCCTGCGTCAAGGGGCCGAGAGGAACTTGGATTTTCCCCTCGTGAGTGCTGGCAGAAAGCCAGCCACAGCTGCTGCATGCATGAGATGAGGAGACCTGCTGCCTTAGAAGAGACTCCTGCTTTGGGACTGGAAGAGATCTGTTCTTCTTCCCTCCTGGACTTTTATTTGGAGGGGAGAAGAGATCTGATCCATTGTAAATACTATATGTCATGGTAGAGATAGTTGTGATTGTGTGTATAATGTGTTATAGTATTCATTTGTACAGTCATTGTAATATATTCCCTTTCCCCCATTCTGAGTCTGGTTGTGTTTTGTCTGGAAAAACCCATCTCACATTAGGTTGAGATGTGGGAGGGGGATGGAGGATTTTGGGGCTATCTCAAACTATGACAATCTTGAAGATCCCTTCCAAATCAAACTGTTCTATGAGTCTAAGTTCCCTGGTTCAAAGATGCAGCAAGTAATATAAAAGGCATATGAGAAATGGAAGAAGCGAAGAAAGAAGGGAAGAAATGAAGAAAGATAATTTGGTAATCTTCCCAAGTCAAGCATCCTAAATTCACTGGCCAAGACATATTTACTGGGGAGGCTCCCGTTTTCATCTGTAGTTCAGGTTCCTGTCCCAAATGACCTTCTGGAGAAGCTCATCTTGACAAGTATGACCTGACTCATGACAGAATCTATTTTTATCCATTGACTGTATCCTTAGACCTGAGAGACTCATTGTCTAAATTAACTGCATAATCAGATGACTAAGAGGTAGGACATGAGAGAGTTGTACCTTGATATTCCAAAGAAAACACATACAATAGGAAGTAGCTGGTCACAAAGGTACAAGCACAAATGCCAGCTTGCTGTTATCAGTTTATACTTTACAGTATGCATTTCCAACCTGCTGAATTGTGAGGAGTGGCTGAAAGAACTTTGCAATTTATATCTATCATCTTGGAAGTTTTCCAGGTGTAAGTGGCAGCATAAGAGAAAATATCATTTGTGCAACAAAGAACAGGAGATCAAGTAGAAAACACTATCAGTGCAAAGGGCAAAATAATGTTTGCTACATAATAAGCCACTCAGAGAAGACGGGGCTAATTCTGGGAAAGAAGATTCAAAAGTTATAGAAATTCATGGTAAGAGGTATTCATTCAGGAAAGGGTATGAGTTCAGGTAAGTCCAAGAGTTTTGTGGATTACCTTAGAGTTAAGGTAATTACCTTAGAGCTAAGCAAAGATTCCTATCACAATTAACTCAGTCCCTGCAGAAGTACTGCTGGAAGTGTTCTTATATGCAGCTATTCATTTCTCTATTGAATTTTGGTTGTTTTTCTACATATGGTTAGATTCTCAGGTTCAAAAATTACCTCTTACTTCAGCTGTCTCAGCTGTTTAGTGTGCATAACATCACTTTGAAAACTTATATTTATCAGTTACAATAGTACTGCACTATAAAGCAAGCAGTTTTATTACATATACCTTATCAAAAGGCTGATTAATCAAACAGAATTGGGTTGTGAATGATAAAAATTATTACTTACAAGTAAATAAAAGAAGATCTGAAGGTACATCAAAACCTGATAAAATTTACCCTGGCAAAAGCAGACAAAAATCTCCTTCCTTTCATAGTAATTGTTAAGGCCAGAACTGGTTTTGTCCCTGAAGCCATACTAAGCACTTCTTAATAACTGTCTTAAATGAACATGATTTCTCACTTTAAGATAAATGTAGAGGTTTACATACCTTATAAAAATTCCACAGTGAAAGAGATGAACTAGAAAAATCCATTTCAACTTCCCAGTATCAGTACCTTCCCAGTCGTTTTTAAACCATTCATAACTAAATATCTGAGTTACTAATGATGAAAGACCTCTAAAACACAGTATCAATATACTTCAAGAATATTGTCCTTGACAGAAATATTTACTAGCTACCCAAAAGTCCACTCCAATATCAACTACATAAATTATAATTCCACCAACTAAACCAAAAAAATTCTGCTTAGTAAATTTCATCATGTGTTAGACTGCCACTTATCATTCTCTCCTCACTTCATGTAAAGGAATCTAAATGCTTTACTACAAGAGAGTCTTTTTACTGATGATACCACCTGCTCATAGGGCTCTATACAAAGGAAAGTTGGGTTATGCATTTTTATTATGGCAAAGGGACTTGCATTTTTCTATGTTCTTGATCTAAATATTAAATTAACTTCCTTGATACATATCTATTCTGGAAAAGATAAATGTAAATTGTCTTTTTAACTGGTGGAGTCGTTCTTCATTAGTGGTTCCTAAAAACAAGAAGAAAAAAGGAAGATTAGCAGTAGCAATATCTCCCTCATTTAAAGTATCATACTGCAAATTCTTTAAATTCTCACAACCATTTAAATAGGCAAGCACAAAATGCAGAATGTAATGAGGTATCAGTGAACAATCAAGACAAGAGAGGTGCATTTCTGAACCCGCTGAGGTCACTCTCCCAACCAGTGATTCTCCACTCAGGCAGCTGTTGAGATAATTCCTAACGGTTGCAAAACACTAAGAAACAAGCAAGTTTTTAAAAGCAGTTTATGGGGGAAAGATTGATACCTTTCCAGGACTTTCTTAACTTCTGAGCTCTTCTCCTTTACTGTACACAGCACAAAACATTGAGAAAACTTCTGTCTTGAGTGCACACAATTGCATCAGAGTACACATCATTCTGCAATTTCCAACTGCATTACTGCATTTGTGTGCATACAGCTAGTGGTTTTATTATTCCTGCTCTGTTTTCCACATGCAGCAAGAAAGTGCTGAATAGGATTGCAGCTCTTCTGTTAAAGAGGCTTGTAATGACCTGACCTGCACCAGTCTACATCTCCTTGAGAATTGTCTCCCAAGCTGTGTGAGAAGTAGCTACATGCAGATGATCTAACTACATAGTCCACTACAAATAGAATTAATTAACAGTTTGAACTACATTTACACTGCCCAACACCGCAAGGATTCTTTTGACTTCTCTGGGTAGTCCTTAACACGTTTTTCCTCTGTTGATCTTTGGTATTTGCCAGATGAAACAGAAAAGCTATATGGCAGTACATTCTTTGTCTCATTCATGTCCAACCGTGCAAAGCTAGAAAATTAAAATTACAAAATCCCTTATTTCATTTACGTGTCTTAGGAAAAAGAAGCTGGCAGCAAACACAAAGGATGGGATACAGAACATGGCAACCCCACTGGGTTTGGGGCGGTGCCAGTGCCAAACAGCAGCAGACAACACATGGAGAACAGCTGGGCCAAGGATCTTAGAGCAGGGGAAGGGCATGTGTAGGCAGGTCCCTTTGGACTTTTGTGAATTCAGGCACACTGCCACAGAGGAATGAAATGAGAGAATTGGTTAATAACTCATGAACAAAGGTAATGACTACTCTTTGCTTGTGTTGACTGGGCTCGTCTATGCTGTGACCCAGGTACAAACCCAAAAAAGAGAATTTAAGCTCTTAATTTCCTAATAAAGACAAGTGGAAACATAACAGCCTGAGAAGGTGCTGAGTGTCCAACACCACTTTTTTTGATCTAGGCCTTAGCTTTTTCTAGCCTCTCATTCTATCTCCTACTTAGGTTTCATGTTCTGGTCCAGGCGATCTTTCAGCCGGGATAGTTGGAATCCTTACACTGTTCTTTCCTATCCCCTACAATAAAATACCACTAATGTCTTTCAAATCACTAACACAATTTATATCCAATTCACATTTAGATTCTGGGAAGTGGACTTCACTACAAAGTCCAACATAAACTAAACTTTGTGTTTACAAACACAAATAGACAAGTTAACCATGAGCCAGCAATGTGTCTGTGTGGACAAGGTGGCCAGTGGCATCCTGGCGTGCACTACAGAGAGTGTGGCCAGCAGGTTGAGGCAGGTTATTCTACCCTTCTACTCTGCCTTGGTGAGGCTGCATCTGCAGTACTGTGTCCAGTTCTGAGCTCCCCAGTTCAATAATGACAAGGAATTACTGGAGAGGGTCCAGCAGAGGGTTATGAAGATGATTAGGGGCCTGTAGCAACTCTTTCAGGAGGAACAACTGAGAGGGCTGGGCTTGTTCAGGCTGGAAAAGAGACAACTGAGAGGGGATCTTATTAATGCATACAAATATCTTAATGCCAGGTGTCAACAGGATGGAGCCAGACTCTTTTCAGTGGTGCCCAGCAACAGGACAAGGATCAACAAGCACAGACTGAAACACTGGAAATTCCATTTGAATATAAGGCAAGACTTTACTTTAAGGTGAAAAACCACTAAAACAGACTGTTCAGAGAGGTTGTGGAGTGTCCTTCTATGAAGATATTCAAAACCTGTCTAGATGCAATTCTGTGCAACCTGCTCCAGGTGAACCTACTTTAACAGGGAGGTTGGACTAGATGATCTCCAGAGGTATCATCCAACCTCAGCTGTTCTGTGATTATTTGAAATGTTTTATATTTGAAAACTTGTGTAGGAACCAACAAGAATTTATTGCTACTGTTCATTGATGAAAATTCCAAAGGAAACTGTATTTACTCTACATAACATCATATCATTCTGCAAGTTGACATACCACCTTTGTCAAGCTGTACCCTTTTTTGTAACAAGAACATTATGCATTGCTTTTAGAACTGATTAAAACCAAAACCAAATATAAAACCAAACCAAAGAAAACAAAAACACCCTGGTCAGGTCCATTATCTGACTGCTGCAGGAAGCACAACAGCAAAAGGTTAGTTATTCAATAACTGGATTCAAACAGAAAGTTTTTTGGAAGGCAATTTATGGCCAAAATAGGCAGTATATCAAGGTTCACATTTAATGAGTAATACTGTACTAGACATTCCAGTGGCAAGGATTAGCCTCTAATTTTGCACCTGAAATAAATAAAAAAGGTAACTGGATTCATCTCTCTTTACAGCCTCCCCATTCTTTTGTATCTGAGCACTCCACAAATAAGAAAGAAAGTTTTATAGGCTATGTCCAGACTCCTCTGAAACAACAGCAAGAAGAGTAGCTGTGAGCCAGGTGATTTCTACCTCTGACAAGCCTACTGTCCAAACTGCTGCCACACCAGCAGTCTGCAGACCTGTCTGGACATCTTGGTGGTAATATGAAGCCATCAGGTAAGCTAAGATAAATGAAGAGCCACACCAAGCGTGGCAGCTTGCTTGCTGTCTCATAATTATCTTGAATAAGGAATCTAGTCTTGAAACAGCCTTGGAATGGCTGGTAAGACACAGGATTTACATTTTACTCACAGTTACATAAAAAAAATGCTGCCAGAGACTCACAAATTTGTACTGACTGGACTAGACTATTTACAATTAGCAGCTTTTACCAAGACTGTCCCTCTCTTTGGATCTGGGCCAAATTTGAAAAGCACCTGCTCTCCAGTACAACATGGGGTTTTTTTAAACCCTATAAAATCTCTATTGATCTTAGTCAATTATTAATATCATTCCTTTCTTTATGAAAGATGTTAGTTATCTGAGATATGCTCTCCTTGAATTATAAAAATATACGTAATTTAGCAGCAGAGCAATAAATACATTATATACTGCATTTGCTATATAGTTTTAAATTCTTTTAGCTCCACCACAGCTTTGTAAAATTTGTAATAGGCTTTCCAAGCTATTTGCCCAAATAAAAACTAAGCTACAGATTTAAATCAGCCACATCACAAATTCACTGTTGTGACCTTTGTTATAATTTAAAAACGACAAAAACTCTGTAGCACAGAGAGAGAGGCAAGGTTTGTGTATCTGATTCATGGAGTGTAAATCAAGCAGCTCACAAGCTAAATTACAGGCTGGATAATTAATTTGTTTTCTGGTTAGACTCGGCATCAAAGCAAGCACATTTCTAAATTGTGACAGATCTCCT